GTCCCAGGCACTGAGCTGGTGCTAGAAATACAAGGCAGATGCCCACGTGGAGCTCCAGCCTAGCAGAAAAGACACTTTGGACTGAGTCATCATTTAGCCCCCAGTTATGAGGAGTGCCAGGAAAGAGAAGCCTGGCACAAGGGTCAGGGCATAGGAGGGGACTGGCCTCGCTTGGGGATCGCTCCTCCAGGAAGAGGGATTTTCTTTTCCACACAGCAGCACCAGACATGTCCCTTGAGTAGCCTCAGGAATGGCTTCAGAGCTTATGTGCAACATTTGAGAGGGAAACAAATCCTCCTCTATTCTAATTTCTGCTCTTGGAGGGCGGGTGGGCTCAACGGCGGAGAGTTGGGAGTCCTCTAGAGACTCTGCAGTGTCCATTCCATTAGCTGGGAGGCCTGCAAAGCCTGAGCTGTGCACTGCTAGTGACAGAAGCCCTAGGCTCTCCTTGCCCCCAGGCACTGCCAGCCTCTTGGGGGAGCCAGGACTCCTGGGGCACCTAGTGACATCTCCAGACCGCTTCTAAATCCCAGACTAGATGTCATCTGGGGCTGGTGTGCACTGAATGGATGAGGTGGACTCATTCATAATCAGGTGACCCCATGTAGCTAGAATTTATGCTTTATATTTTTCTTACCAAATTTCAGATCAATGTGTCACAGCCAAAGGAGAGCATAGGTGTGGGCTGGGGGGGCCTAGGAGGGTTTGAGGAGCAGGAATAAGTGCCTCCTTCACTAAGAAGAATGGAGACATGATGTGTTTGAAGCTAATGCTTTGAGGCTATTGGCTTCACCTGCACTTAGAAGACGCATCTGGAAAGAGGCTTAGGTACACAGTCTGCATCCGGGGGTGTGTTCTCAGCCATTTTTACATGAGACAACCTTCCCCACAGAGCACCAAAGAGTTACTGAGGCCAGAGGGGATGCCCTGTGCTGGGGACCTCTGTGGTCTGAAAGACTTAAGCAAAATGGGACATTTCAGGTCCCAAAAATACTTCACAGGGCTTTCTCCTCTGTGTGGATTCCTCAGAGACAGTTATTGTACCACTTAGAAAGTCAGGCTTTTTATAAAAGAAATGTTTAAATCACTGGTTCTTAACTTAGCAGTGGTATCACTGCCCCCTTGGAGAATCTGATACAGTAAACTCTCTCTCCAGGAAAACCCCAGTGTGTCCATAAACACCGTACACTGTTCTATGTTTTACCAGGCTCATGGAAACCCTGAAACCATACCTTGAGGCAACAGTCTGGAAATTGCAGCCATTGGGCCACATGCAGCTCACCACCTGCTTTTGTGCAGCCCTAGAATAAGAATGGTTTCAACCTTTTTTAAAATGGTTGAAGAATACTATTTCATGACACATGAACATTGTATGAAATTCAAACATCAGTGGCCGTCAAGTTTTATTGGAACACAGCCATGATCATTCATTTACATAGGTTCATGCTGCTTTTGGCCTACAATGGCAGAGTGGAATGGTTACGACAGGAACCGTACGGCTCACCACATCTAAAATATGTACTGCCTGGCCTTTGACAGAAAAAAAAATTGGCAACCCTTGCTCCAGGGGTGGAAACTCTGTTTAAGAAGCTTACTTTATATTCTTTACTTTTGCCTCAAATGATTGAAATGTGCAATTTAGACATAAGAAGCAGCATTGAAAGTTTTCTTGATACGTTTCTCACTTTACCAATAGCCGATGAGGAACATGTTCCCCAGTTTTGCAGAAGCAAGAGCCACAAAGGGGCTGTGTCCTAGACCCTCCCTTTCTTCTGTAGGTTTCTGAATTGGCACTGCCTTCCAAAGGAACCTTTGGGTAGTTGCCTGTTTTGTTTCAAAGTCTCATAATACATGTTAGAAGTTTGGTGGCAACGTCTTTATAACAGGGACACCTGCCTGCCTCTGTGATGGCAATCCCTGAAGGCTGTGTCAGCAGACCCCAGCTAATTCCCAGGCAAACTCTTCTGATCTGTTCGCTGGGTGTAGGGGAGGAGGTTTGCCATTAGCTAACACCTGAAGTAGAGTATTATTTTTTCCCAAAGTAACTCCTCAAATGGAATTTGTAAAAATATATATATATTTTTTATAGTTTAGCAAACTATGAGACTGGAGGAAGAGGGGAAATAGTTGAATTCCATCAAGCAGCGGACCTGATAAAGTTCAGCTGTGGTTGATTGTTCAGCACGCCTAGCGGTGTACTGACTGCCTCCAAAGAAGTGAAGCAGTTTTCCCCCAGAAGTTGTTTAGCGAGAAAACCAGCCAGATTGTGGGGAAGAGTCCTGCGAGGCCCGGCCTGAGGCTTGGGCGGCTCCTGCCTCTGGCTACAGGGTTCACCTAGCTGCCAGAACCCTCTCCATCGGGCTTGGAAATGGTGGACCAAGTGGCTTCCCTTTTTAACTGCCATTTGTGCCTCTGTGCTTAAAAAGCAAGTGGGTCTTCATTTTCTTCTCCCTTAAAAGGTAGAAGCAACAACCTTTTAAATAATGTAAGGGTCACAAACTGGACGATTATGAGACCCATTCAGCCAGGAGATAACTTTTTTTAATCGAATTAGTAGGCGATATTTAAAAAGTAAGAGATTTAAGTGAAAATGTAGATTGGGGCATTTTGTGGCAACTCCAAAGACTTGGGACTTCTGGGTCTGTGTCCCCAACAGGCGGCATTGGCTGACGAGCCATGCAGCCCTCAGCTTGCTGGGCTCCTCAGTTCCCGGTGTGACCCAGCTTCCCCATGCCATGGGACTTTGTGCACACACACAGCACACACAGACACCCATACAAAGGCACACACATGTCCCATGCATTATAGAGACAAGGAAAGACGATGCTTTTTCTTTTTTTTTGAGACAAGATCTGGCACTGTCACCCAGACTGCAGTGCAGCGATATGATCTTGGCTCACTTGCAGCCTCCACCTCCTGGATTCAAGCCAATCTCACACCTCAGCCTCCCAAGTAGCTGGGACTACAGGCACATGCCACCATATCTGGCTAATTTTTGTATTTTTTTTTTTTTTTGTAGAGACAGGGTCTCCCTATGTGGCCCAGGCTGGTCTCAAACTCCTGGGCTCAAGCTCTCCACCTGCCTCGTCCTCCAGGAGTGCTGATATTCCAGGCATGAACCACCACACCCAGCTGAGCTAGGATGTTACAGCTTGCAATTTTAGCCAGCAGTGCTAAAAGCAAAATCCATCTTCTTTCTTCCTTCCTTTTATCTTATTCCCGAAAGCTTAAAGATGGCCCACCAGTATATATAAAGTATTTATTATGAATGTACTGTCAGTGAAAAGGAGGAGAGAAAAAACAGCATAGGAAGGCAAAAAAGAATCAGGAATGTTCTTTTGGGTGGGTCACATATTTGGCTCTTTGCCTCCCGTGAAAACTGATTGGTTCTAGATTTCATGTGCGTGGGAGATAAAGGCACACGGGTGGCTCAGGTGAAACAATGATGATTCCGTGAACTAAGACCAAATAGAAAGTTCTCTCCAGGATCATCCCAAAGATAATTCTATTTGTTCTGGCCATACAGTTGTGATATATGGAGGAAGAAACAATGCAAAATAACGACTCAATGCCATCTACTGTTCTCGCCACTTGATCGTATTCTTTCATATAATCCTTGTAACAAATACATGGGGAGGACTACTAATGTCCCCATTTTATGAATGAGAAAATGGCGGCACAGAGATTGCATAATTTGCCCAAGGCCACGAAGGTTAGTACCTGGAGAAGCAGGCATGGAATTCAGGCAGTCTGGCTGCAGAGCGTGAAGGTAAGCCACCAAGCTACCTCTCACAGATGGGCATTCAGAGAAACCAGGCTGATTGAACGAGAGTTCTCAGATGTCCCGATTTTATAAAGACCAATATAAAATAGATAAAGAAGCCATGAAGCTAAGGACAGCCAGTGTATAGCATGAACTTGCTATGTATTAGAGGAGGCCAAATCTAGAATGGTCTTAGGCTCCTAAACAGGCCTTTGGACAACAAGGGAAAATAGCCTTTTGAAATTGTTAAAAGAAGAAAGAAAGAGATCCACGGCCTTTGCATGGAGGGGCTCCACCAGGCTGCCCATCAGAACCACTTATGGAGCTTTAAAAACTCACCGCCTAGAGATTCCAATGTGTCAGGCCTAGGACGATGCTCAGGTGTCTAAACAGCTGTGTTTGTTTTTAATGCACAGCCAGGATTGAGAACCACTGTGTTAAAAAATGGCAAAAAGCAGTCTTGTTATTTTGCCTCCAACTTTTCCCCAAAGAGAAATAGCTTCCAAGTACAAAGATGAGGGTGAAAACCACTAAGAGGAAACTGAAACCCAAGACAGGCAAATGACATTTAATAAAGCTCACCTGGGGAGCCTTACTATTCCATGCCCAGACCAGATCCCAAAGCAATTAAACAGAATCCCTAGAGTGGGACCAACATCTCAGTGGGTTGAAGCTCCCCCCGGTGACTCCAGTGTAGGCCCAGGTGAATTACATTCCAGGTTGCTGAAGAACCTGCTCTGCCTACTGTTTGGTAAATTGAAAATGATGGGATAGAGGAGTGATACCAAGTGACAAGAGAAAAGCAAACAGTCTCCCAAGTATTCAGAAACTGGGAAAATGTGGACTTAGGGCACTTTGAAATGGTTATGATGAAAGCAAGTTTCTAGATGTTCTTAATGAGACGATAGTTTGTGGACATGCAGGGGGCAGCAGTAACCACTTGGAGCAATTAACTTCATTTCCAGCAGAGAAATACCCAGGCATTTATATCTTTATTCCAGCAAAGCAACTGAGCAAAATGAAACAGTGACCATGGCTGGTTGCTTCTCAATGAATTTAACAACCGCACCCCAAAGAATGCTGGTGGAACTCGATGTCGACTTTGTGAGAGGGCTGTTTCAGGGGCCAGGTCAAAGAGCTCTGAGCCTGATCCTGTCCTAAATAATATTTGTATAAGTGTCCCCATAGAGAGATTGGAGGCATGCCAATCAAAGTCTGGGTTGACATAGAGCTGGAAGATAGAGTAGATAAGATGGATGATAGAATTAGAATAGCATTTGCATTGTATTTTAGACTTTACCTATAACCCTCAGAAAGCTAGGCGTGTTTGTTATCTCTACTTCCTAGGTAAACACACTGAAATTCAGAGGTACGTTGCAGAATCATGGTGCTCTTGACAGGCTAGAAATATGCTCCAAAATAAGAAATCAAGGTTAAGTGTAAAGGATGATGTTTGGATTTTAAAAACCAATTTCAGGCTGGGTATGGTGGCTCACCCCTGTGATCCCAGCAGTTTGGAAGGTCGAAGTGGGAGGACCGCTTGAACCCAGGAGTTCAAGACCAACCAGGGCAATACAGTGAGATTTCATCTCTCTACTTTATCTACTTTTTAAAGAAAAATTTTTATCAATTTCAGAAAAATAAGATTGGAGTTTGTATTAGTTGCCCAGGGCTACTGTAACAAAGTACCAAAACCTGGGGGTGGCTTAGAACAACAGAAATGACAAGAAGATAACAAGGTGTTATCTCACGGTTTGAGGCTAGAAATCTAAAACCAAGGTGTTGGCAGGGCCTTGCTCCCTCTGAAACCTGCAGAAGAATCTTCCCGTGCCTCTTTCAGCTTCTGGTAGCCGCAGACATTCATCGGCTCGTGCAGCACAGCTTCAGTCTTCACACACGTGTCCCTGTGTCTCTTCACACAGTCTCCCCTCTGTGCGTGTCTGTCTCCGTGTCCAATTTCCCGTCTTACAAGGACACCAGTTATACTGGATCAGGGCCCACCCTGATGACCTCATTCTCGTTTGATTACATCTGCAAAGAACTTATTCCAAATAAGATCACATTCTGTGGTGCTGGGGGTTAAGACTTCACATATCTTTTCTGGGAGACACAATTCAACTCGTAATAGGGTAAAGTTGGATTGATACAACTAAGATAGTGTCAATGTTTTCTCACAGCTACTTAGGAAATGATAAAACATTGATACTATCTCACACAACCTTAATGTAATTTAACGGTTCATGCCAAGTAGAAGGTAACACCACTGCACTTGGCACTGTTCAGACTGCAGAGGCAGGAACCAAGCAGTCACCTCTGGCTACCACCTTCTAAAGAGGAGATAGAGTTAAAAATAAAATGGCCGGCGCGGTGGCTCATGCCTGTAATCCCAGCACTTTAGGAGGCCGCAGTGGGCAGATCACCTGAGGTTGGGAGTTGGAGACCAGCCTGACCAACATGGAAAAACCCCGTCTCTACTAAAAATAGGATGTTTTGAACTGTTTACTAGAAAGAAAATCCAAAAGTATGAACATTTCTTGGTTAACAAAATTATAAAGAGGAAAAAGGGATGACGGATGATTATGTTTAGAGAAATTTTTAACTTGAGAGTTAAATCCTCATTTTTGCCAGGCAGGGCACTATGCAGTGATACCTTCCATATTTCATTTAACGTCACACATCAGCAGGCGTGTATAAACATATACACATATATTCTGTTCATTCAAATGCATGGCTATAAAGAATATGTGCATCTATGCGAGAATCTATCTCATGTTGAGGAAGCATTCTAATTATTTAAATTCTTTTGCTTTTGGAATATTTTAAAGAGACAAGTGGAGCTTAGATAAGAATATGGACATTTCAAAGCTAGGATGGACTTGGGGTTTGGCTGTTAGAGTGACAAAAATTATTTCCAGCCAGTGAACGTTAAGTGTCTACTGTGTGCCCTCCCTTGAGGGCTCCGATGGGGACTGTGACACACATATAATAGCAAAAGGGCTAAATGCATGATCCAGGCAGTGCCACAGGAACTGGGGGGAGAGCAGGGTGGAATGAGACTGGAGTTAGGGAAGTCATAAGAAGGAGCCTCATGTGGGACCTGGAAGGATGCTGGCATTTGGGAGACCAAATGCAGAGACGGCGTGTCTCACTTCAGGTCACACCCCATGAGGCAGAGGACCTCTGGCTTGGGGTTACTATGCTGCTTGTGCTGTTGCTGTCACACCAAGCAGAGATAAGGGGGAAGGCAGGGACCAGCAAGGCAGCCACATGAAAGTCAGCCCCATTCCCCAGCCTATAAGATCAGGGAGTTTCCACAGAGCTTTAAACCAAAGTCATCTGTTGACCTCCTGGGAATCAGATGAAGACAGAAGCAGACGCTGCTGACTCCTCGGAAAACTGGAGTTTGTGACTTCAGCACAGTGAGGGATGTGAGAGATTGTGCTGGTCAGACAGGAAGTAAGCCTTGACGCTGCCTGCCCACCTCTGTCCTGGGCTCCCAATACCACCAGGCCTTGGAGCGGCCTGAGCTCTAAGGCAGGCCCAGTCTCTGAGGGGGATCTGGAGTGACCTGAAACTTTACTTCCTTCAGTTCCACCTTGCTCCCCTGCTACAGACACCAAAAATGTGCCCATCCCCCAGAGTCCATCCCAGATTTCTCAAATTCAAGACCTTATTTCTGAAACGATGCCAGAGGAACTGGGAATGTTGTTTTCCCCTGACGCCAACTACAAGGGTCAGGGGCATCCCTACCACGTTCCTAAACATGTCTGTCTTGATGGAGTTTTCCCAAACCCTGGACAGACCTGTTTCTGTTTCTGTCTTGTGTCAGCAATTAGAGAACTCTAGCGCCCCAAGTCCCGGGAGAAGAAATGTCATTAATTGGGCGTAAGCCTACCTGTTTTGCAGGCCCCATTGGCTTAGTGGTAGTCGGGATGCCTGGCTCCAGGCCCTTCATGAATCAGACTGCAGCCATCTCCCCCGCTCCCGGCCTCCACTTCCCAAAATCAAAACACCCCCTGACAGGACAGCAACCCCTGGCCCTGAATCCAGATCACATTACTGGCTCTAGATAAAGTAGCAGCAAGAGAAGTGCATTTCTTATTTTTTCCAGCAGATATCTATGGAGTGTGCAGTATGTGCCAGGCATTGTGCTAGGCTGGGGATAGACTGGTGAGTTCAACCCAGTCTCTGCCTACAAGGTGCTCATAGATTAGTTGGAAAGAAGAGGGCTCCCCAGTGTGGTGAGTGCTAAGTTAGGAGAGATGGTGAGGGCACCCACAAGAAGCTTTGCTCAAGTCGCCTTGGCGGGACAAAGAGGGTTCCTGAAGGAAGGGCATGTACACGGAGGTGGGGAAATTGAGTGGATGAGGGGCAGGAGGCAGGTATGGGGGAGGGCGTTCCAGGTAGAAGGCTAGCTATGCAAGGCTGGAGGCAGGAGGAAGCCCCACAGTTGGGCAGTGCCAGGGAGATAAAGCTGGGGGCGGAGGCAAGGATAAGCTCCTGAAGGGCCTCAGAAGCAGGTGACTGAAAGAACTCAGGACTTTAGAACCCAAAAGCAGTAATATACAATGGAAGCATCTCAATTGCTGGAGGAAGCACTAGGATATGCAGACAGGCCCCCGCTGAGCCCTGGTTCAGGATTTGGAGGCACAGAGAGGAAGGTAAGACTCAGCCCCTACCTTTAGGAAACTCACTGATGGGCAGATCCCATGCAATGTGTTGGTTAACAACCAAGCTGTGCATGATGCATGCCCATGGCACACGGGTGCTACAATGCAAAGGCATGATGGGTGCTATCATTTATCGAGTGCCCTCTGTATGCCAGTTTCTGCAGAAGGAACCCAACATCGCATCTCACTCAGTCCTCAAGGCAACTCATAGTGTGCCTGTTACCACCCCCATGTGACAGATGAAAAGACCACGGCTTAAAGGGGTTAACTTCACAGCATCAATAACCAGGAAAGGATGTCACCAGCATGAGTTCAGCCAGTGATCTTTCTCCTGCTCTATGCAGCCTTCCCTAAGTGTGGGCCAAAGGTTGAAGGAAGGCTTCATGGATTAGGAGAGGACTGCAGAGTTAGAATCACTGTCATCTCTCAGGCTCTGCAGTGGGGGCCAGAAGCCTGACATGCAGGCATTAGGTTAGGCAGGGATAACTATGGACCAGGATAAACAATGTCTCTGAGAGCCTGCCCCTCAGAACCTTTAAGTCAAGTCCTGTGGCTGCTCTTTGAGGGAGGTAGCAGCTTTTCTAAGAATAAAATCAGTGAGCAAAGAATGTGCTCTGCCACTCTTTCCAAATTTGAGGATGCTGTGCTGCCTACATACCATTAATAGGGGATGGGTTTTCCTAGAGATGTTTGCTGTGGGAATCTCCCAAGCCTCTAAAGTTAACGGTTAGAGACTGCACATAATGGGGATAGTTATTTGAATTAGAAATGGGTAACTCACATGCATCTAAAACATCTCCAAGGAAAGTAGCGTAGGGGCCAAGTTGTATACGGAGATGCGTGAGCCAAATCTGTAAAGATCATAAAGAATGGCATATTCTCTCAAATGCCACAGATGATTCTGGGACCTCAGGAATCTCAGAGCTGAGCTAAATGGCTCTCCAAGCTAGCCCACCATGGAACTAAGGTCCTCGGGGAATGACACCACTAGCTGTATTGACTGAACCTGGTTCCCTGGTTCACAGCAGCATCCTGTATTTCAGGATCCTGTAATTCAGATGTCTCAATTATGAACTTCAGACATCCTGTAGAATCTAGCTTTACCACTATGCTCAGTTGACCTCAAGAAATGAAACCAGTTTCCATGATTAACAGACACTAATGACCAACAGGTGAAACACAATCAGGTCCATAGGGAGAGGCCGTGCCAGAGAGCTTACAGATTTTTTGAAGTTCTTCCTACACAGGTTCTTCTCACTAGCAGCCAGCTGGGAGGGAGCTGGGAAGGAGGTGTTCCTGCCCTGACAATGATTCTGAGACCTGGAGTATCCTGGTCACTATATAATACATTAGTTGAAAAGAGGGGGCCTCCTCAGTGTGGTGAGTGCCAAGTTAGGAGAGATGGTGAAGGCATCTCCTGCCTCCACGCCTTGCACAGCGAGCCCTCTGCCTGGATTATACCAGTCTACCATAGATCTGAGCATGGCCTGTCCTTAGTGACATTACAAACCGAGCATTCCTCTCGCCCTGTCCCTTGACTCTCTTTTTCTCCCTACTGCCACCTACTCCACTGTCCCCTTCAGCTCCAGCTCCCCCCAGCGTGGATGCCCCTGGCTTGCCTGCTGGGATGATACCCAATGCTTCCCCAATTGTCGCATCACCAGGCACAGAGGGTTCATAACCTGCAACCCTCCCCAGTCAGTTAATCCCTCCCCCTTCCATAGAGATCTTCAGAAGAGGTGGTGCCACACCCTTTGCCCAGGCGCCACCCTCCCACGTCAATGCGCCACCGTGGGGATGGTCTTTGTTGTTTCCCCTGAGTCCCTCTCAAGCAGGGCCCTCCTTTTCCTCTTGTTCTGTACACGCTGGAGAGGGAGAACAGATGGCTCTCCTGCCAGGGGCCAGTCCTGCTGGCAGAGGTGACCAAACCACTCAGCTTCCCATCTCAGGGGCAGCATGGACACCCTTCAGCTGCAGGTTCTGTTTCTGGGGATCCTTTGGGTTTTCTGTGTGTCCTCCTTTCCCTCTTCCAAGGTCTCTGAGACCTACTGACCTATGCAGCTCAAGCCTAGAGAGAAGACACCAGCAGGAATGGTGGTGCTGAAAGATGGTAAAAGTCAGTTTGTCCCTGCTCTGTGCTGTTTGTGATTCTGATTTCAATCTGGGGCCATTTGAAAACAGTCCCTTGTGCAGCTCACTCGGCCCATGTTACCCACTATCTTCCCAGACCCACAGGTGTCTCCCACCATGTTTGCCTACTGGCAGACCTTTCTCGATTTATTCTGGCCTAGCAGTGTTACCTAAATGTCTCCTGGTTGAACTTGACTCTTGTTATATCTTCCAGTTTCTCCCGTGTCCAGATTTCCAGACCTTACCCACTGTGGAAGGCGTCACACTGAAGCCCAGACATGAGTTCTGGCTCTGCTCTTACCCAGTCCAGTGACCCTGGGAAAGTCACCACACCTCTTTGAGCCACAGTTTCCTCATCTATAAGATCAGGATGTTACCTGCCTGTTCTGAGGATCGAATGAGCGAATAAATGCAAAGATTCTTTGTAAACTGTAAACTAGCATTCCCCAAACTGTGTTCTCCAGAAGCTGCTCTCAGGAGAGGTGTTCATCAACTATTTAGGAAAAAGAAGTTTTATGTCAAGCTTGAGGAAGGCTAGCCTAAACGAAGCAAACCAGATTTCCTCACTCTAGAATTTCTCAGAGACTTTAACTTGCCAGTGTGCATAGCGAATCTCCATGAGCAGGGTAGAAAACATAGCTTTGTGTCAAAACCTCCTTTTTTCATGGACTGCTTATTAACTTCTTTAGGTTACTGGTTTCCACAGAGCACAGTGTATATTAATATTATTTCTCCTACAAATAATAATGTGAATCTTTCCACAAGATTTATTCCATCATCCAGGTCACTGATCCTGGGTAATACCAGTTTATCAGTGTCTGAAAAAAGTATTTCTGGAGTCCCTGCCTTTAATCTTCTGGGTATCATGTTCTGTGCTGTGAGAGGGGACCCACTGTTGAAGGCCTTTGCCATTGGACTCCAGCCCTAACTCTCAACATCCCCACGCCAGACTCTGCCCCTGCAGCTTGGTGAACCCGTTGCCCTGCGTAGGCTTCTTTTGTCTTCGTGTTCCCTGCCTTTGTTCCATCCTTCTCCCTGCCAAGATGCCTCCCTCCCATTTCGACCAGTACAATTGTAACTCATTCTTCAAGTCTTAGCCCAATCCCTGACTTCTCCATGGAAGTTTTTCTAACGAATGCAATGTGTTCTATAGACGGGACTACTGGCCCCCGAATTCAACTCTAAGCCCCTAAAGGCAGAGAGCATTATTGATACTTCCTGATTTTCTCCAGAAACCAGGATTATTTTGTAGATTGATTGATTGCTGCCTTCCACCCCTCCCCGCCCCCGGCCCCGGAACCATAAGCCACACAGTTGTACCTTGGGAACTTGAACCCAGAGGTGTGGGTCCTTCAGAGCTGGGGAGTCAGTAGTGAGTTTACTTACTTCATTCAGTAGACACTTATTGCTGGGGAACTGCTAGGAACCCAAGGTTGAATAAGACAAGGTCTCTGCCTTTAAGAAGCTCTTGGTCTAGACGAAAGCATAAAAACGTCATGGCAAGTCAATGCACTGAGTGTAATAATTGAAAAAACACAGGAGCACAAAATTGGGTTTGTGGTGAGAGTGAGTGGAAATCAAGGCAGGCTTGTAGAGAGGATGTCACGTGGAGCAGACGTGGCCAGGTTATGGGGAAGAAGGACCTCTGGGAGGGGATTCAAGTCTGTTCCTTGGGTCACAGGGAGGGAAGTCGTAATGGAGCCAGGTTACAGCAGTTGCTGGAAGGGGGTGTGAGATGGGACGTTTGCATCGTACACACACACACACACACACACACACGTGCACACACACATCTGTGGGAATCCCACTTCCCTGCTTTTCCATCATACTCTCTCACCCCTTCTTCCTTCTCACCTTGACTCATTCTTCCTGTCCTCCTTTGTCACCTCCCGGTCCTGGGGCCATCCATCATTACCTCATCGGAACAGCCCTGTGTCTGCTGTCTGTTGGTAGCTAGAGGCCTGCTTTGGTGACAGGCTGGTCAGTGCAGCGCCCACTCCCCGTGGGGGGCCCTCAGGAGGGAGGGCAGCCTCGACTCAGCACTTTCTCTTTTCTTCCCACAGAAAACCAAAAGAGACGTTAATAATTTTGACCAAGACTTTACCCGGGAAGAGCCGGTACTCACCCTTGTGGACGAAGCGATTGTAAAGCAGATCAACCAGGAGGAATTCAAAGGCTTCTCCTACTTTGGTGAAGACCTGATGCCCTGAGAGGCCACTGCAGTTGGACTTTGCCAGTGCTGCAAGGAGGGGTGCAGAGAGGACTCCTGTGTTGCAGAGACTCAGCAGGTCTTGAACTCCTTCTCCTCCCCGGAGCCCCAGCCCCATGTCCACTGTCTATTTATTGCATTCCCTTGCCCCAGGCCACCTCCCCCTCCCACCTGGTGACAAGAAGGCTCTCTCGGTTCTTGTCTCACCAGTAATACAGACTCGTTGGGTCAGCAGTTAGCTGTATACACTGCCATGTTTGGACCGTTGGAAAGCCTGGTTCCACTCCTCAGGGGCTCCTGGCAGTGAAGCAACTTCAGTTCTTTTACTGCAAAGAAAAATAAAAAAAAAAGGAAGCAAACAAGAAGACTCCGGCTCTGCCATTGAACACAGATCCTGACCCCTCTTGCTTCTTTTCCCTCCTGCGCTCCAGCCTGCCGTCCCTGTCCTTCTGTCCTGGAGAAGAGACTGGTGCTTCTCCGCACGCATGACGGAGGGTGCCCTCGAGGCATGCCCTCTGAGGGAGGGAGACCAGAGATGCAGGATCGGCCAGCTGGGTTGGTTTGCTCTGGAATGGCTAACTTTTGCCTGCTTTGGTGTTGGCTTTTCAGCATGCCAAAGTCATGTAAGTTTGCGTCTTGTGGAAGAAATCCTCTCTGTGGAAAAAGAAATGGGGTTTTGAACTCTGTTAACATTTGAAAAATGTATTTTCAAATCCACTTTCTAATTGGCAAAAAGATATAAATTACAGTCTGAATACAGGTAGATATTAAAGGGCTAATACAAAATGAGAAACCGGTCGTCCAAGGTGGATGCTGTCAGTGCCTGAGTGACACATGGGGGGTGTATGAATGGAGAGAAAAGGCAGCAAGTAGCATTCCTCATCATTCAAGTTCTACCTGGACACAGAGGCCACCGTAGCGATGGCCAGGACCCTGGGGGTCCAACAAAGCTCAGCTCCCAAATTCTCTTTCCAGTTTCATCCTAAGTTCCTAGCATAAACACTATTTATTTTCTGCAGCAGTGTGTTATTTTTGCGCACTTATACAAAATGGTAGTACTACTGTGTTGTGGTTTTAAACATTAAACATGTAAAGTTATATATGAAATATCTGCTTTCAGAATAAGCAGAATGAGGCTAAACATGGGTTATACAAAGGGTATCTGGAGACTGAAGAGCAACTTGTTCGAAAACTGACAATGTCGCAAGATGTACTCAGTTTTGTTTCCGTGTGACATGCAATGGCAACTCATGTGGACACTATTTAAGGGATGTGACATTACCTCCTGTAGATACGCTAACAGTGTTACATTCTTTCATTTCCAAGGGTTCTCTGTGGCTTTGTGTATATGATTCCTGGAGGTCATTTGATTACCTAATTTACTGAACCGATTTAGCAGGGAATGGAATCCATTCCAACTGTTGCACGTGGATTTCTCAGCTGCCCCTAAATATATATACTTGTGAGTGGCAAAGTGGCACTAATGAAGCTTTTTGCCTTTTGTACATTTGAGATTTTTGTATATAGTGTTTGCTGCAAGGCCTGTGGAATTAATTCATTGAATATAGAGGTATCAACTGCTGCATGTTCAGGCATATTATAAAACTTTAGTCTATGACAGAATAATTATAATAATGTCCAGGTGCAATACTCTGTAAGTGTATTGGTTCAAGTTACCGAGAGATAGGTGTATTCCTTTATAAGGGATGGGTGGGGGGTGTGTTGGGGATTCTTCGTATTGTTTATTTCATTTTGTTTATTTTAAAAGATGTAAACATATATTAAGCTATATTAAATCTCACATACAGTTCTCCCGTGCTCTATTATACCCTGATAGAGATGGGGGAGAGAAAGGAACATGTTTGATGGTGGTTTCAAAGCTCAGACAGTAACTCTCTTGAGCCCATGGAGAGTCTGTGTCCATATTTGCATCTGGCTGGTCATAGCCTTTGTTACTAATGATGACATTCAGTTCTCTTTTGTTTTTATTTTTTAAAAACTCAGGTGTAATTATTATCTGTTCTTATGATAATTGCAAATATTAAATATTATATCAATCCATGTGTTTGGCATACCAGTGAATGATGAAGAACATTAGATTAATTTAATTTATCTTCGGTAACTTGACATTCTGGGGAGAGACTATCTTCTGGAGTTGAGTAGAAGCACAGAAACATCTTCACGGTGGCATCATCTCATTTTTTTAGGAAGTCATGACAATACTGCCCATCATATTCACGTGTAACTACTGTGCTCTTTCTTCTGCTTTCTTTACCATTATAAACTTTGGACAGCCAAGCAAGCTCTAACCACAATGCCAGATGGCCTTGTCCAAGGGCCTGGTGTTTGCATGGCAGCGGGGACTGGGCCTTTCCTATAGGGCGACTGGCAAGTTTGCTGGGAAGTCAAATAATACATTCCACCTGGCAGCTGTAGGCAGGCAGTCTGTCTGTCCCAGAAAGGGCCCTTTTCAGCACCCACGGCTGGGCTACCTGGGGTGCCTCTGGTTGGTGAAGTTTTCACACAGGCCGATTTCAATCTAGCGAAGGTCTATAGAAAAAGCCTTGTGTGTTCCTTCAGTAATCATTGTTCCATTTTCATTTTTACAAGAGTTTGAAAATAGACACACTGTTAACACTTCTGCCAGTTTTTTCTAATCTTTCCAGGCCCACCCCCTTTCTCTTTCTCGCTCTCTGTCTTAAAAAAAAAAAAAATGGAGTGCAAAAAAAAAAAAAAAGCCAAAAAATATATGAAGGATAGCTGTTCTCCCGTGTTCTCTCATTATGGACTTTGTGAAGTAGAAACATAATTTTTCTCCTCCAAAGGTGAGAAAACAATGCGTTCTTGCTTTAAAAAAAAAAAAAAGAAGGCTAAAAAATTACCTCTTTTTAAATTATGTGCAAAATAATTCTGGCTAACTATAAAATGTATTCAATTTTAGGAATTTTTTTGTATTGTGATGCTTTATTTGTACATTTTTTTCTTTCTGGATGTAATTTTAACCTCTTGCCATTCATTAGTGTTATTTCATTGTAAACATTATTGTGCCAAATGTACTGTATTCAAAAGGATGTGAATGTGTATTGTTTCAGAACCTAATAAATACAATGACGTTAAGTCTTATTTCTCAGTGCCAATAAGAATTTTTAATCTCCGTTATGAGTGGCAAAGCGGCACTAATGAAGCTTTTTGCCATGTATATATTAGAGATTCAAAAATTCCCAAACCTAAATCTGGTTTCAGCTTTCCTTTCTCCTTGGAAGATGCACAAAAGCTGCAAATGACCATATTTGCACATTCCCCCTGCCTCTGTGCTTCTGGGCTGTCAGAGGGAGTAAGGGGGACCTGTGCTGACTGGACATGGCTCTCAGCTGCCTTGCCTGTCTGCCTTGGGGTGCTGGGAGACAGGCAGGAAAGTGGGCAGCATCTGCATTTTTGTCTTTCCAGAGAAGCAAATGCTGGACCTCCTTGCAACCAGTGCCCATTTGGGCCTCCTCATGACTCAGCTTTGGGCCTGATGCTCGGAACTACAGGCCTTTGGGGTCCAGGGAGTCCTCGCAGGGTGAGAGTTCCTTGCAGGCTGGCCTGGAGCACAGACTGGCCAGCAGGGCTCCATGCTTAGCTCTTGCCCACCTCCCCCATGCAGCCTGTGTCTGCGCCCATCCTGCCAACTCCTGGGCTCTGCAGGCCCCTCCTGCTTCACTCTGGGGCTCCTTTTCTGCCCTTCCAAGCGTGTTGCCTTGGTACTGCGAGACTCCTCTTTTCGCCAATACAAACTTTTCAAGAGTGTTTGAAACTCAAAAGTACCCTCTTGAGTACACCAGAAATTTCCATTGGCCAGAACTCCCTGTTCTTTAAAAGTTACAGAAATGATTGCAGTTCTACTATTTGTTATCCTAAGGTAAGGGAATGGCCTACCTTGTCACCCTCTCGACTCACAAAAATCACTTCTTTATAAGCCCTCCAATGACTGGCGTATCTGCCTGAAAGGCCTCTTCTCTCAGCAACATCTCCTGCCCACCTGGAGATCTAAGCATGAATTTCCACACCCACTCCAAGAAGGATGTGTTTAGCACATAGTTTTCTCTCTGATTTCAGGCAGCTGTTTCTAGGTAAGTGGCCGCCCAAGGAGAAGCAACCTTCCCGCCAGCTTGTCTGTCTTATTATAAACCTAAAAATTAGGAGAAATATTAAACTCGCAGAGGCAGAGAGTAGAATGGTGGTTGCCAGGGTCTAGGATGGGGTGAGAATGGGGAGATGTTAGTCAGATTAGCACAGTTTCAGTTAGGATAAATACATTCTGAAGCTCAACTGTAGAACATGGTGACTATGGTTAATAGTAATGTATACCCAAAAGTTGCCAAGAGAGACGATATCATCTTGTTCTCACCACAAAAAATGAATGGGCTGGGGCCAGGCACAGTGGCTCACACCTGTAATCCCAGCACTTTGGGAGGCCAGAGCGAGAGGATCACTTAAGCCCAGGAATTCAAGACCAGCCTGGTCAACAAAGTGAGACATCATCTCTACCAAAAAACAACAACAACAACAACAATTAGCCAAGCATGGTGGTGCCTGCCTGTGGTCTAGCAACAGAGGAGGCCACGGCAGGAGGACTGCCTGAGCCCAGAGGTCGAGGCTGTGGTGAGCCATAATTGTGCCACTCCACTCCAGCCTGGGCAACAGAATGAGACCCTATCTCAAAATAATAATAATAAAAAGAAGAAAGAATGTGAGGTGCTGGATATATTAGGTTGGTGCAAAAGTCACTGTAGTTTTTGCCATTTTTAAAAGTAATGCTAACACTTTTACCTATGTTATACATCTGCACATCCTGTATATGTACCCTGGAACTTAA